AAAGACGAATCAGGAAAGCACAAGAAGTTTGAATGGAACCAGGAATGTCAAGCTGCATTTGAAGAACTAAAGTCTTATCTTAGTTCACCGCCTCTGTTAACTAAAGCTGTAGATGGAGAACTTCTTTATTTGTACCTGGGGATTTCAGATGAGGCCATTAGTTCAGTTCTGGTGAGAGAAGAAGCTAGGCAGCAGAAACCAAATTATTATATCAGCAGCGTGCTACACAGAGCAGAGCTGAGATACCCTATAGCTGAGAAAGCAGCATTAGCAGTCGTCACTTCGGCCAAAAAATTGAGGCCATATTTTCAGTCACATCCAATTATCGTTCTCACCGACCAATCTCTCAGGCAGATTCTGCAGAAACCAGAGTGCTCTGGAAGACTAATTAAGTGGGCAGTAGAGCTGGGAGAGTTTGAGATAACATTTCAGCAGAGATCGGCCATCCGAGCTCAAGCATTAGCAGATTTTATTGTCGAATGCACCCCATGTCCTTCAACCTCTAATCCAGAGCCCAACGAGTGGACCTTATATGTTGACGGGGCATCTAGTAGCAAGGGTTCTGGGGCTGGCGCTCTTTTGATTGGTCCAGAGGGATATCAAAGCGAACATGCCCTGAAGTTCAATTTCGATGCAACAAATAACATGGCTGAATATGAAGCTCCACTACTTGGTTTACAGCTAGCATTGGAGTTGAAAATCAGAACAATTCAAGTCTACAGTGACTCCCAGTTGGTGGTAAACCAAATTAACTCAATCTATGAAGTTGTTGATCCTGTGATGGTAAAGTATGTAACCTTGGTGGCCGACCTGAAGTGCAAATTCCAGAAATTCTGTCTGAGTAAAATTCCCCGAGCTGAGAATGAACAGGCAGATTTGCTTTCTAAGTTTGCCTCTGATAGCTCTTTAAGTTCCAGATCCGTTTTTGTAGAGATCTTAGATGAACCCTGACACACTAAGCTGGACTGACTCAATTATCTCCTTTCTACGAGATGGAATAGTACCTGAGGACAGGCAGGAGGCAATGAAGTTGAGGAAGAAAGCATCTCAGTATACACTTGTTAATGGGGTTCTCTATAAGCGATCTTTTTCACTTCCTCTTCTGCGAAGCTTGAATCCCTACGAAGCCGAGTATGCACTTCGAGAAGTACATGAAGGTGTCTGTGGGAGTCACGTCGGTGCTAGAACTCTAGCTCATAAAGTCTTACGGCAGGGATATTACTGGCCAAACATGTATAAGGATGCCATTCACTTTGTTCAGAAATGTCC